CTCTCAGTCCTGATCCTCAAGGGAAACTTACACAACACTTCCCAGAGATGAGCCTATGAGCTCCATTTCATCAACCTGCTGGATACTAGAAATCATGGACTAAACATAGACATTGGATTTTTGATACATTATAATCTGCCTGACATCTGACTCACCAGCCCAGCCCAGCCCCTGGCTTCTTTACTTTTCATTCCATCCAGGAAGAGCACACACCAACTGCTGAAGCTTCCTTAGCCTGACGAAGGGTTTTTGAACCCGAAAGCTTGCTTAATAACTATTCTCCAACCATTTGGGTTGGTCTAATAAAAGATATCAAATTCACCCAAGGAACCTTGTATACCTAGTTCTAGACACATACCTTCAAAAGATCTGAGCCCACACCTCCTGCAGAAGTCCCTGAACCCCACAAGGCTTTACCTCTCTTGATGAACCTTCCACTGAACAAAAAATAATTCAACACTTACTAGGTATGAGAGTGCAAGAGCATCTGCAAGGAGTGTGACTTTTGTAGCCTCGCATTTATGGCACATACTGAGAGGTGGGCTGGAAAGGACGAAGAATCCTGTGCTCTGGTCTCTGCTCCCCAGATTAATGTCTGTATTTGAAATAAAGCAGACAAAAGATGGAAACAGTCCCTGGAGGAGGAACCAGAACCCAGGATTATCTTTTACCAGCAAATGAGTGCCCTAAACTATGAACCTTCTTGCTGGCCCCATGTATGATGAGTCTTTTGATGGCTGTCTGATCAGCATGCAAATTGTTCTGCATATCACTTGTGCCTAACTCCCTAGCACAGTAGGAAGAGCCTGGGTACCTAATACAAGGTTCTGGATTTGACTGTGAGGACCAGGTGCCTTGAAGTTAGGCACTGTGTTGTCTAGCTTGGAGATGCCTAAATGAATTGCTCACAGACACACAGGAGGAACTGTCTTGAGGCCCAGCCCAGTCCTTTATTCACAGGATCATCCATCCTTTCTCTTGTCTTATCACAATGCTTTTCATCAATTGATGGACATAATTGTCCCCAGTTTGTAGGTGGAGGGAAAACATACGGGGACTTACCAAAAGCAAAATGGGAGATTAATGGCAGTAACAGGAAAAGAACCCAGGTGTCCTAACTCCCAGTTCAGTGCCTTATCTCCTCTAGACAACAGAGTGCTCAAGGCAGAACCTGGAGGCGGGTACAAAAATGACTTCATGGTAGATTCACACTGGGCTCATGTAACAGCTCAGCCTTAGTCAGCTAAGCAACCTAGAGTAACCTCAGAATTGTTCTAAGTTACAGCAGATACAATGGCCCTTGGGGACTGAAATGGCAGCTGGGGAAGGCTTAAGCATGGCAGCTTAAGGTACACCCAAGGTACTGACATTCACGTCTCAGAAAGGTTGACTGAAGGCCAGTTAGAAATTTGATTCAAATATGGTTTTCTCATCAGTTTTCTAAGCATGTTACCAGGAATAAAGAAGGTCCTTTATACTGCTCAGAGACTTTGACTGTCAAGATGGACCTCATTTTAGTTCTTCCATCTGAAGGCAGTATTATTCCCTGCAGTGTACTGCAGCATACTGTCAGTGCTTTGTCTTAGGCTCTCTGTATGCTGAATGCATTTTCCTGTTTGAATAATTTTATGTCAGTCATGTTTAAATTATGGCTGCTAAGTTTTGTTTAAATGAGGAGAAAATGTTTCTTGAATGTTCTCAGTGATTTTATCACCTTGACAATTCAATTTTTAACTTCTCTGTTGTCATGTTCAAAGGGGAATCGTACATCTGTGGGCAGATCTTCTGCTAGAGGCAGTCCAGATCTCCCCACTGAATTTGGAGGGGTTATACTGACTAAGATCATGTCGTTCTTTAAAAACGTGCCCACCCAAATTTCAGTGACATATCTATAAGGTTTTGACTGTTTATACATTTTTGTGAGTATATTTCCTGATGGGAATTTGAAATTCCTGAGTCCTTACCAGTGGGAGGGCAGACCTTTTGGGCAGGCGTGCCACAAATTAGCGTGCTGGGTTTTTGGTTGTAGCCGTGTTGGTCTAAGGACATAGGCAGGCAAGGTTCTTTGAGTAGATGTGATATCTCTTATTAGACCAACTGAGTAGTTGGGAAAAAAGTTCTTAGCAAGCCTTCAGGCGCAGTCACCCTTCTTCAGGCACAGGGAGTCTCTGCTGGTCTGAGACTCCAAGGAATGAGAGAAACAAAAAGTATGGTAGGAGGTCAATGAGAATGTAAATAGGCAGAAATTAGGAAGAGAAAAGGTAAAGCAGGGAAGGGACGGGTGAAGAAAGCAGGGGAAAAACAAGGCCCAAGGGACACATTACAGAAAAGAGGCTGTCTGTGAAAAAGAAAATAGTTGGAGATCAGCAAACTTATTTTTTCACAGACAGCCTCTTTTCTACCTTGTATTCTAGCACTGTAATGTGTCCCTTTGACCTCCCCCCCCAACTTTCTCCCTCTCCCTTACCTGCTTTACCTTTTGTCTTTCTAATTTCTGGCTACAGTAAAATCTGTTATCCAGCATCCCTGGAGTAAGGGGATTGCCAGTTACGTAAAAACGCTGGTTATCTGAAATAACCTGGCAGGGTTTTCAAATAACATGGAGCTGGTGGGAGGGAGGTGTGGCATGCAAGCTTTCCCCCACTCCACCCCTGCATCCAGCCGGTGGAACGGGAGAGTGGGGGTGGCAGCTGCATGCAGAGCAGCGGCAGCACAGGGTGGTGGGTGGCAGTGAAAACCGCTGCGTGTGAGCTTCCCGCCCTTCACCCCCCATGTCCAGTTGGCCGAGCGGCTGGAAACTCTGGTTAATGGAGTATTTTGGTTGGTTAAGTACTGGACAGCAAGAGATTTTACTGTATTTACATTCTCACTGACATCCTGCCACACTTTTAGCTTCTCTCCCTGTGCCTCAAGAAGGGTGACTGCACCTGAAAGCTTGCTAAGAACTTTTTTTCCAACTTCTCGGTCTAATAAAAGATATCATATCTACTCAGAGAACCTTGCCTACAAATTAGCATTGCACTCTCCCTGAGGGCCACTCTGATCCCTTTCCCCAATCTTATCTGATGCCCTGTTTTCTGGTCCCTGTCGTATCTGCTGCTGTTCTGCCTCCCTATCCCCTCCCTAATCTGCTGCATGCCACACATGAATCCTGCCCAGGCTGCTGTGGTGCTTTTGCTGCAGGTTACCTACTAACAGTTGTTTTTATTTTTTTTTATATTGAATCAAGTTACACTTTTCTTTTCTCCTTTGGTTCATTTATACTGAAAATGTTTTGACTGTATGCTTATATTGTTCATCATAGTAGCTCTATTTTCTCTCTTTGACTGACCACAGCTCCCAAGAACTCTAAAAGATGAAAAGTCTTACTTCCCCTCTATTAATTTTAGAGTCTGTCATATTTTTTGCTGTGTCTGAATTTCAGCTAGCATAGACACATTTATCTTTTCCCATAGTATTCCCATATGGGAGTAGTGACAGCTGCCCTATCCCAATTTTATAAAATATCTAGAAGAAATTATATTATGTTATGTACATTTCAATGACATTCTGGACTATTTATTTTTTAATGCTTCCTCCCTTGATACTTTTTGTTTTGATAATTGAGATTTTTAGACACATAAATCATTTCAGTTTAAAATCAAAGGAAATATATTAACTTATTTCCTTGTAACTGAAACAAGCCTGCTGAAAATAGTCTGGACAATAACTTTTATCCTTACCAAGGCTGTAATCCTTCCAGCATTCTTAAGTGTCACAACTTTACACATTACTAGCTCAAAAGAGTTCATGTACATTAAATATCTACATGAGACTTTTCAGGATTGGGATCTAAAATGTATAATTTTGTATAAAATGACCTGTAATAACTGATATTTCCTTCATATCTCATCCCATAACAGACTATATCTAAGCATCACCTCTAAGCCAAAACTCTTTTCTCTCAAGTTACCTATTCCTCTAATTGACAGCAATATTTTGGACTGTATTGTTATGGAAAACTTATGACAACCTTTAATCTTCCTTCATTTGGGTCCCTCTCCCACTGCGCTACATCTGCAACTCCCAACTTGCATGTATTCTAGCTCACCCCTGAAGCTTTCCATTCACAGCAATGAAGATTTTGCCAGGGCCTCAGCAGCAGTGAACTGAAGCTTAATTTAGCATGTGCCTTCATGAAGCTCAGTTCCTCCAGCTGATTTAAAGTCTAGAAAGACACCGAGTCAGATTTCTGGCCTCAGTGTAAGCTCACATAGTTTCATTGAAGTGAGTGGAACTCTGCCAATTTAGAGCAGCTGAGGGCTTGATCTGTAGGATTTACCCTGATTATCTATTAAAAATGTAGAATGGTGAAGCAGAAGCTCCGATAACACATTCCTCGGGGAATCCTTGTTGGATACCTGAATGTACTTTCTAAATGTTGTGTGATTACTATACTTAGATCTTGTGTACTCTGTTAAAAGCTATTGTGAAGGCATTTAAAATAAGACTGGATGAAGTCCACAGGAGAATACTGCATTGAAAGCAGGTGACTGAAAAACACTATGCTTATCTCATCCCTGATTTCCTTGTCTGTAATCATTGCAAATACTCTGTCTTTTCCCTCAGAGAATCCTGGAAGTTGCAAGTCCATTAACTCATGTGTACACTTAAGACTATTTTTGTTAGTTTTTATTCGGAGTCTGTTCCAGGCAAGTTGCCATTTTTTGCCCCAAAGCCCAAAACTATCTGGTCTATCTGGAATTGATCACAATCTGCATTGCTTTTACTGACCGAACTGACTGATGCTATTAAGTGACGTTAACAAACATTATCAACTTGCTCTTCTACCTGGCTGCTCCAGTAATAGTACTTCTCCTATTAGCCTTTCTGATAACCATCCATCTTTTCTGGTTCTTTTATCCTATATCTTAATTGAGTTTTGTATCCAGACACTGAAGAAACTCATTTTACGATACTAGAAGCTAACACTAATGCTTTTTTCCCCCATTTTTTTCTAGATAAAGGTCTTTCCTTGCTAGGCTATCATCTATGCAACTATAGTGTGACCAAAAATGTCTTTAAAATGGTTGCCTATCAAAAGTCATATGAGAAAAACACCTTATGTGGAGGATGGATTCCATGGATGGTTTGTCCCAAAACTTACCACAAAACTAAGTATCGTACTATTGAAGTCCCTGAGACTGTGAATCTTACAGATTGCTGTGAAGGTTATGAGCAAGTTGGACTCTACTGTACTTTATGTAAGTATTAGTCAGATCAACTGCTTAAATCAATGGTCCTTTTCATAGGTGATTCACTGTAGATGGTGACTCAAGAAATTAAGTTTTTGTAAGTGCATGTCTGTCTGCTGAAGGCAGTGAGTTTGCAAAAGTCAGTGGTACATCTACCCCAAAATGTCTCTTGTGGATTGAAAAGGCACGTTTTATAATGCATTCTCATACTTCAATTTATGTAACAGATTCAGTGGACAAGCAACATTCTAAATGAGTTTGGATAATGCATTACCTTGTCATTCTTACAGCTGATCTTTGCATGGCAGGATTAAGGCACATTTGGAAGATAGCATAGAGTCTACTGTATAGTCACTGTATGTAGTCTGGAGATGACTTCGTTTTACAAGCTTATTGTTAAGTGCTGCCAAGAACGCAACAGCTTCATTTAATAAGGTTTACTATTAACATAATCTTCAGTTTGGCGTCATGCTGGGACAGCCAGCCCACACAAATTTTGCTTTGGACTTTTGCGATTTAAAAATTACTTCCCAATTTCACATTGCAACTACATCTGCTCTAATTTTCTCATGACTCTTTTTACTTTGCATATTTACTTCATTACTCCCAGGTTTGCTTGAAAGGTTGGGAAATGTAGGTCTAACTTTTGAATTTGTAGTAAAACTCCAAAATGGGAACGACCTTGCTGCTGCTGCTGTTGTGGTAAACATTTTGTTTAGGGCTGGTTTTGGTACAAAAGGTGGGATGGACATTTAGGGTCAGATTCCATTCCACCTGTTAGGCACATAAGTGGATTGAGGTGCCTACATTTATTTTGCCCTACTTGAAAAACTGTGGGGGCACCTACACGAGATGCTTACTGTGGAGTTGCCTAATTAGCTCCATAGTAAAGCGTCTCCATTTACACATGCGGCAGTATTAGGCAAGAGTAAACTAATTAACTCTGCCATAGATTAGTACTGCCTGATACTAGTAACTATAACAGAGGAGTTATTTAATCTGCTCCAATGCATGTGTTGATGGTGACCAGGGCTGGATGGGGTATGAGAGTGCTAGCCCCACAATGGAGCACCCTTGTGCACCAGCCAACCCGTCTGCAGCATGTTGAGCTAGGGTGGAACAGTTCTGGACTGGCAGGCTGACTCCCACATCCCCCTGCCAGCCGAGACAGAGCAGCTGTGGTCCTGGATGCATGTGTAAACACTGTGTCTGGGAGCAATAAACTCCAGTGAGAACTGTGCTGGATGTTATTGCATTGCATTAATATTCAAATGTAAATGTGCCCGGTTAGTACAAAAAATAGATGGGCTCCCTTCCTCCTCCTCCTTGCTGCTTTTCTGTGATTTAATTCTGAGGGTAAGATGACAATGTATATATGGAAGTAGGTGCATTAATGGATTTTCAGGGACTTGAACAGAGTGGAATAGAATCACACTTAGCCCCCATGCCCACTTAGGTTCCCAGTAAGTAGAATACAATCTGGCCCTTACTCTGAGTATTTTGGGTAATCTTTAGTTAAGAATGGCCTTAACTACACTGAAATAAATCACTTAAGTATCCACTATGCTTAACATTATCATAAAAGATGATTCAGGTTTTTCTGGTGCAACTTTCTTTTGTAGATAAGCCCTTATACTCCAAAAGCACTTACATACATTTAAAAATCCAAGCACTCTTTGTCATCTATTACTTATTAAATCACTCTTTAGAAATGGAAGATTTCCACTGGATTGACTGGAACATAAGAAGGGTCTCTATCTTTATCTTATGTCTTCCTTAAAACCATCTGCTAGGAAAAAACAAAACATAGTTAGAAATAATTCCTGCCCTGGTTTTATTGATCCATGCAACTCATGTTGGCTGACACAGCGTAAATCAATGCAGAACTGGGCCCACAGAAGCCAATATTTCCACGAAGTATCTTCAAGCTGTCAGAAAATTGCTATCAATTATACAACATTTCTGGAAGGAAGGTAGATGGAAAACTACTATGGATCAAAACCTTCTCAAGATTTGCTTCTAGGGAGATGCCTGTTTAAATAACTGGAGCTGGGGAGTGGGAAGGGAGTTGTTTATTTATGTTACACAAATTAAGAAAATTCATTATTTTTACAGAGTAACTAGTGATTTTTTTGGATACCTCAGTTTTGGTGTTCCTGACTTTAACCACTGTTATGATTGTAATTTTCATAGGGTGGGTGTTCAGGCCTTAGTCTAGCATCGTCACACCACTAATATACTTACCTGTTCTGGACATGTTTGTCAATGGTATGTCATAGTTATTTTAGATGATTTTCCTTTGAAGAAAATTACCTTTCAGTCATAAATGAATTTACATATTTTGCAGGTGATTTCTGGTTTTGGATTATTCAGGCACTTTATTTTGCTTCTCAGAGTATTAGTCATAACTTCTATGAATGGTAATGCACTGTCTAGACACAATCTTAAATAAATGATGAAAGGAGGAAATTGGAACTACTGGAATTACTGCACTACATTCCATTAAAGTATTTGTGTTTTCTTCCTGGTGTTATCCACAGTGACCTTTTCTGTGTTGGAATAAGAGTAGAATGATCTGTATAGTCTTTGTGCACATCTTCCTGCTAATTTTTCCACCTTCCCTTTTCAGAAACAATAATTTACCTTTGCCTCTGTGTTTTTTCTGTTTCTTTGTTTATCATTTGGGGAGCCAGCATAAGCATGTGACTGCTATAATTTCTACAGTAGCTCCTTCTAGTATTAATCCTAGTATTATGATAATAGCATGCCTAACCACCCACCCATACCTTAAAAGAACAATATTAATGTTGTAAAGTCAAGCATTTTAAAGTTAGGAAGGGCCAGAATTAAGTTGCTGTGTACATATGAGTTTAGATGCAGTCTTTATTTACACAATCATGTACAATCTTTCTCACAAGGCTCTTTCCTAGTTCAGTGCACAGAATGGACAGTGCTGACATGAGTTCAGTATTCTATATTTTGTTCTATCCACATTGTTCAGTGTGTGAGTCCATGTTTCTGTAGACAGTATGATTATTTCTCAATGAACTTTTCTATACTCCTATCATTAGAGTATATGGGAGTTTCATAAACATTAATTAATATCTTTACAAAAGCTGTGTATGGCAAAAGGTGGTGCTATCCCTATTTAACAGATGAGGAAACTGAAGTACAGAGAGATTAGTCAAAAGAATTCACAGATTGTAGGAGCTCAGTTTGAAACAGCTGAGACCTGTTTTTTTTCCAGAGTAATTATTTTTTTTATGGCATTGCGTGTTCTAAAGCACAGCTTTCAATGGGTGCATGTAGATGAAACTGGGGTTTACTTCACCCTAAATTGAAGTGGGTGGTTTTTAAAAACACCGCTTTAATTTGGGGAAAAGTAAACCCCCGTGTCATGTACACCCATGTCTTACCTGCCTCTCTGGCATTGGGGAGGGGAGGGTGAGTTGCCGGTGGGCGCAGCAGTCCCTGGGCTGCGGGGGTGGGGGCTGGTGCTTCACTCCGTGATAGTGTCCCCCCACTGGCAGCTGCTGCCTGCAGGCACCCAGCTCAGTTTCACTTCAGTTTCACTTTAGTACTCAGTACTGTTGCAAGTCAGGCACCAAAAAACTGTGTGTGCAATTGGTAATTACCTTTGAAAAGTGTGGGTGAAGTCACTTTCCCAGCATTGTACAGCAAATCTTTCTAGCAGGAAAAGATGGGATCCAATTCTCTAGGGTGGTATTTAGCTGCTTTGACCATGAGACACCATGCTTTCTCTTCCTGCAGTTCCTTGCTTCATTTGTTACATACCTTCCAACTTCCTCAACAAAGGAAGCAGGAGACCTGCTGACAATAGTCTCCTTCACTAGATAACTATAGTTTATTCCCAGAATGGGGAAAAAAATGTGTTCATGTAATTAAAGACTGCATCACAGCCCAGCCAGTCTTAATTCGCTAATCTCATAGATTTCATAGACATTAGGGCTGGAAGGGACCTCGGAAGATCATCGAGTCCAGCCCCCTGCCCAAAGGGCAGGAAGTCAGCTGGGGTCATAGGATCCCAGCAAGATAAGCATCCAGTTTCATCTTGAAGGTGTTCAATGAAGGCGCTTGAACCACCTCCGGTGGCAGGCTGTTCCAGACCTTGGGGGCTCGGACAGTAAAGAAATTCTTCCTTATGCCCAGCCTGAAATGATCTTGAAGTAGTTTGTGACCATTCGACCTCGTCATCCCTTGGGGCGCTCTGGTGAACAAACGTTCCCCCAGATGCTGGTGGTCACCCCTGATAAACTTGTAGGTGGCCATCAGATCACCCCTGAGCCTGCGCTTTTCCAGGCTAAAGAGCCCCAGGGCTCTCAGCCTGTCATCGTAGGGTCTGCTTCCCTGACCTCTGATCATGCGCGTGGCTCTTCTCTGCTTTACTAGCCGCAGCATCGCATTGTAGGCTCATGTTCATCTTGTGGTCAATGATGACCCCCAAGTCTCTTTCTTCCATAGTGCTAGCCAACATAGCACTGCCGAGCCTATAAGGATGCTGTGGGTTTTTTTTCCCCAAGGTGGAGAACCTTGCATTTATCGGCGTTGAACACCATCAGATTCTCGTCCGCCCACTTGCTGAGCCTGTCCAGGTCAGCCTGGATAACCTGCCTGTCTTCTGGTGTGGATGCTTTGCCCCAAAGTTTGGTGTCATCGGCGAACTTGGCCAGTCCGCTTCTGACTCCAGTGTCCACATCATTAATGAAGATGTTGAACAGTATGGGTCCAAGGACAGAGCCCTGGGGGACCCCACTGGTCACAGGACACCACGATGAGTGACTTCCATCAATTACTACCCTCTGGGTCCGACCCCGGAGCCAATTTTCCAGCCAGTGGATCATGGAGGACCCAAGGCGACAATTGGCCAGTTTCTCCAAGAGGCGATCATGGGACACCAGATCGAAGGCTTTTTTGAAGTCAAGATATATGAAATCAATCTCTTCTCCCTTGTCCAGGTGATAGGTCACCTGGTCATAGAAGGAAATGAGATTGGTCAAGCAAGACCTACCCGCAACAAACCCGTGCTGGCTATCCCTTAAGATGTTGACGTCGGCCAGTCCATTAAGAATGGCCTCTTTAATCTGTTTTGTCTCTTTACCTCTCATCCACACAGTGGCTCCACAACCTGTGTCCCCTAACTTCTAATCATAGTTTTCCTCTCTTCCTACACTTCTGCCCCTGGCAGTTTGTTACAATCTTCTCCCTCTAGTCATACCAGTTTTGGGTCATGTTTCTTCTGCATTCACTTTTGGCACCTTCCTTCTCTATGCTATCTGGGTGCTGGCAGAGAGGTCGCAAAGAGCACAGCATTCAAGGCTCCCAGCTTCCAGTCCTAGTTCCTGGACTCAGCATAGCTCAAAACCAGGGGCAGATCAGGGGGGGGGAGGGCAGTGGTACAAATGTACCCCCACTTTTAGTTGACCATGCTGCAGGAGCAGCAAGGGGGACTTTTTTTAAATCCCCAAAGCAAGTAAGAACCTCCTCTCCCTTCTCTTCCATGATCAGTGGCACACCCCCTCCTCTCGCCTTTCTTGCCCTCCACTTCACCCATGGTGTCAAGGAAGCAGGCGGGGGAAGTTCCAGATCTGCTCCTCCCCACTTCAGCCAGGCTCAGGCAGGGATAGCAGCAGCAGTAGGCAGGTTTCTTCTCTCTGCCTGGTCCCCTCCAGTGTTCCCTGCCAGCCAAGGAGCAAGTCCAGCCTGGCTCCATATACAGTCCATCTGGAGGAGGGCAGGAACAGCTATGGAGCCCACCCCCATCCCAGACCAACTGGGGACAAATGCAGCAGCACTGGGAAGGGCAGGGGGGTAGCGGGGGGCAGTGGGAGAGGGAAAGGGAGGGGAGAGAATGTATAGGAGGAGAAAGAGGGAGAGAAGATTTTTTACCTGTTTGAGGGACCTAAAATCCTTTGCTACTGCTTTTATGACACAGTTTGCCCACCCTGGTAGGGGAGTGGGGTGGGAGCAGGGGGTACATCCACCCTGGCAGCATAGGTCGCTGCCCCCACATCCCCGTTTCTGAAATCCTGTATCCGTCCATGCCCAGGATAGACAGTTTCAGAGAAAGTCCTATACTGCAGCATGCTTTGTGAGGATGGACACTTCTCAGATTTTAGCTACTAAAATCTATACAGTTTCTAGTAAGCATGTTTGAACAGAGATATTTCAAGAGCTTATAACTGGCTACATTCAGTAGATTTTTCAGAGGAATGACAAAAGGTCATGGCTACCTGGCATAAAGGCCATCCCGCTGCCAAATTTCAGCTCCCTGTTTTGAAGCACAGGGGAACCAGAGCTTTACAAAGAGAAGGTCCAGAATATTTGATCATGAGCTGAAACATCGTAGTTGACACTTTTCCTTCCAGGAAAATGTGGCTTAAGGCAAATGCCTGGTATGGAAAATTTCAGTCCAAGCAAATTAGTTTTTGTAAAGTTATAAGCAACTGAAGACAGAGTTTTATAATGGGGAAATGTCAGATAACCTTGATAATAGCCAGTGCCCCCAGCCTCTCCTATATACCACTCTGTTAGTTCACTTGTCTGTCCCTTTGGCAATTGCAGTACTTCTGCCCTCTGCCAGGCCAGGCCCTCAAACAGTCTCAGGGCAGAGGTGCAAAGGGAAATCTTGGTGAAAGCTGGGCATTCTTGATCTAGCTAAAAGAGGTTATTGTTGAGTTAATTGTGTCCCTTAGCATCTGCCTCCCAGGGGATTCTTCCTGAGCCTACTGCCTAACTGGAAATTGTGGCTGCCATACGCAGTAACCTTATAACTAAGTTCTTGGTTGCTAGGCAATGGGTTCCTCATTTCTAGTTCTCTAACTTTATACGCAGAATGAAGGAAAAAGGATTATGCTTTATTCTTCTGACAGATGAACCAACAGTGTTCATTGGTTTGCTCCTCAGTGCTATGGCTGCCTGGCAGATGGCTTAGTTCTGGGTGACTGTTCTCATGATAATTGAAGCAGAGGGAATAAATTGACTTTAGAAGTGCCTCTGATATGATTAGACAGACATGTGATGTGAATCTGTCTTTGTTGCTGTGCTGATGTAAACATGATGTTCTTTAGATTCTAGATTAATGGCTAGTATGTCTCTCAGCCAGGACTCAAGTGAGTTCCCAGCGCTCCCGCTGTTTTCTGAGATTGCATGTGAGACATTAATTGTTTGTGCCACAGTTACACATGCTATAAAAAGAGCTGGGTAAAAAAGCTGTATTGAACATCAAACCCAGTTAAACAGAGTTTGGGATACAGGTTTTGATGCACTTATAAATCCGACTCTTGTTCACAGAAAGTTAGTTAGTGAAAGTAAATTTGAAGTCGTCTGTACAATTGGCAATGTTTGTATCACAGCAGCACATACAAGCCCCAGCTGACACTGGGGGGCCTATTGTGCTGGTCTGTGGTCAAACACCTAGTGAGAGCCAGTCCCTACATCAAAGAACTTGCAATCCAGACAGATAAGATTGGAAACAGAGAGAGAAAAGCCACGGTTTTACAGAAGGGGGCTGAGAAGAGAGATTAAGTGACTTGCCCAAGGACAGCCTGTGGCAGAGCTGGAAGCTGGTTTTGTCCCAGTAGAGTGCCTTAAACATAATATCTGTCAGGGAGCAGGAAGCTGGGGTTCACCACTGAGATTCACCATTGTTGAAGGTTAACTTCCAACTGAATTTTCAGGGTTTGTTTTCCTTCTGGCCTCAATGGAACAAATTCCAGAAATGAAGCCCCCAAATCCTTTGCAAAATAAACCTTGGAGGCTGCAAATAGCTCTGCTTGAACACACATTTTTATGCATATAAAGAGCAAAATAGAGTTAAGAAAAACTTTTCTGAAATATTTTGGACCCCAAACTTCAGTTTGCATGCCCATTATTTAGACTGCAGCTGCATTAGCAGCAATTGAACATGCAAATGTTCCTTTAGGAGTCTAAACAGATGATTTCTCTATGGAATTAGTATGACTGTTGTGTGTCCAGTTGCAGAAACTGTACTGCAAACTATGCATGTTTAACTTTCTTGTGTGGTGGACACACTGGGGATTGCAGAGACAGTTCCAGAGCTAAAAGCAAGATCCTGCTATAACTTGAGATAAAAAACCAAAACTGTAATAGACTTGTGTCCTCTAGAGATAAGCAAAGCATGTCTGTGCACTTGGAATACACAGTTGCTAGCAGATTACATATGCTTACTTTAAATCTTGATGGATAAAGATCATTTGACTGTTTAAGGAGTATGTTTAGCTGGAGCACAAAGTCTCAACTTTAATATTGTCATCCACTTTGCAGAAACATCAGATTCACTTGTAATCAGCACTCTGGGAAATTGAAGACCATGAAAATTAGCAGTGCTTCTTGAATTCTGTGAAGACTGGGTTGTGATAAGTGCATTTTTTCATACATTGAACATCTTTGGTTCCAGTCACAGGAATCACTTTAATTTTTCTCCTTGCTGATGTTAATTGTGCAGTTAGTAGACTGGAACTTTGTGATATGAAAAAATACTGGGGATAAAATGAATAGAAAAGCCTAGAGAGATCTATCTAAACACATTATGTGGAAGGGTTATATTTGTGTTATATTTGATGGATTTATTGAAGGAAAGTTTATACGAACATGATCTGTATTACACAATACTCTTTTGGTCTTTCTCAGATTGAGAATAACTAGTGAGATGTCCAATAACGGAAAATCACTTATTGGTATGCCTCCAGGAAAGTTGTTTAAATTTTATTTAGGAAGTGGTAATGCTTCTCCTTAGCTACCCTCTGTGTTGGGTAGTCTCTTTCAGGATAACAACCTCACAGAACTCCTTGAAATCAAATGGAGGCTGTCAGATTAAAAATCATGAGTTTAAATCTGCTCTCCCTTTCCTTATGTGTGTAGAATGAGTGTGACTGAGAGTGCTGTTTACCCTTTTAAAAAACCAACACATTTATATCTTTGTGTAACATGATAATTTAAGATTTCTGAAAGTGTTATGGGGCAAACCTCAACATTCTCTCTTTTTTTTTCTCTTTCAAATGGAGCTGGTCAAAATATAGGAAAATTATTTCAGGACAATTTAAAATGTACTGCTGTTTTGCAGAGCTTGAAAATGTGTCCCTCTTTTATATCTTGAAATTAAAATGTACTTATGGAGACCACATTTATCAAGTTAAATTTTCAATAAGAATATCATAAACATCATAAAAAATGTATCATGTCAACAATTGTCTAAGGAAAAACTGATTGTAAGTTAGTTTTTTTTCTTCCCATAACATCACAACACCTCATTTAGGAGCAGGTGTCTGCCATAAACTGAATATCCCAGTGTTAGGGGAAAGAAAAATCACAGACAATTTAATCTCTCTTTCTTCCTCTCTCTTTCTTTTTAAAACAGCCCTAAATAGATCCAGTGAATTTGCCTCAAGGCCTGGTATTTGTCCAAAGGAAGATATGGAAACATCAAATTATTCATGCACATTTGACACCGACTGTCCAGGACTTAAAAAATGCTGCAACTCATCCATAGGAGCAGGCTGTGTTACTCCTTTACCAGGCGGTATGTTATCTACACGTTCTTACCCCTGCTCCTAGCTCCACCCAAAGAAATAAGCCATAATTTTTTCTGCTGAAGATGAAGATAAATAGAGCAACTGTTAATCTGTTCTTTCACAGCATCTGATGAAGTGAACTTAAGTTCACAAAGCCTTGTGCTCTCTATATATCTTATTTAGTTAATCGACAAGATGCATATCTTTCCTGCCTTCTGCTTGACTTCAGACTAACATGAGTAACTACCCTCATCTTTATAAAATAAGAAGATTAATCAATTCAAGGATGATCAATTTTAGTAGTTGGCCTTGTGAGTCCCTTGCAACAAGATTTTAGGTTATAGTATACCTTTTTAGTATACCTTTATCCTAAAATCCTTCTCCTTGTTTGAGCCACAACTCACTGCTGTTTCTAAGAATTTTGCTATTTGCCCTGAATAAGACCCAAATTATTTGTTGTTTTAAATGTGTTCAATTACAGAGAGGAACCTAAGAAAATACTGGTTTAATGCATCAGTCCTTGTGAAAATGGATTTTAATGAATTACACAGAATAGATCCAAGACTTTTGAATCATTCACGCCTTCTGCATGCCCTGGTATGTACTAATTCAAAAGTTCTTATGTTTCTCATATGATATCAGGGATGCTCAAATACCAGGATAAACTAGGCATGCCAAAATGAAAGAGAGCTTGTGGTCCTTTGTGCTGATCAGGACCTTATTATGCAGCTGCTCCACTGTGCCCTTCTGAGATACAGAAGGTAGGGGAATTGTGCAACATATTCCAAGCAGGTGAATGCAAGATTCATTCTTGATTATTTCAGTTTCACATTTATCTCAATTTGACATTTATCAAGACTTTGGCTAAAGGAATCTAAAGTTCATAGACTTGAAGTTATCATCTTTTTTCTATTCCAGTTATGCTTTGGCTGACTCTAAGCCCTGGCTAAGTCTTGGCTTCAAAACACACAATTTAGTTGCGATTTGTAGAGTTCTAGAGTGTGGATGTTTTTAAATTTGGAGTCTTGGGGCTCTTGTACATGTGATGGTTGTCACAACGTACACATGACAAAAATGTCATTTGTGTGGCTTAATGGCATCACTTTACATGCCTGCCAGTTTTGGGAGGTTTAGATGAGTTTGCATTATTGCAAACTAAACTACATCCAAATATAGTTTAGTTTGCAATGTTACAAATTGCAACAATGCAGCTGTCAGCTTGCTTCCTGACTGTGGGAGCAGCAGAAAGGTTCCATAGAAAAAAAGGATCTGGCCCCTCACTGTCTCTGCCTTCAGCAGGTACCTGCTGACAAGGGGCCTGATCCTTTTTTTTTTTTTTGTGGAGTCTGCCCACCTTTCCCACCGTCAGGGAGCAAGCTGCCAGCAGGATGAGCAGCCCCTGAGCTGCGGGGGGTCCAATCCTTCCCTCCATGCTGGCAGCACCCCCTCAGGGCCACCCGGGTAGGCTGCTACTGGGCCAAGTGCTGCCCCAGTTTAGAGGCAGCACCCGACCTGATCCAACTGTTCCCCAAGCCTGCCCGCTTGAAGTCCACTGGGCACTGCTTCCCGGGTGGGCTAGGGGCAGAGTTAGATCATGCCAGGTGCTGCCTCCTACCTGAGGCAGCACCCAGCCTGCTAGCAGCCTGCTTGGGTGGCCCCGGGAGGAAGGACTAGGGCCCACCTATAGCTCAGGGGCTGCTAGGCCCGCTGGCAGATCACCCCTGGGCTGTAGTCAGGTTCCAGCTCCGACCAAAAAAAAAATGATCGGGCTCCTTGCCATAACGTGACAGAAAAATTGAAACAGTGGGTTTCAATTAAAAACCCATTATTTCAATTTAGGAGGCATAGAATAAAACCCTGAGGACTAAACCCCCATCACGTGTACAAATGCCCTGAGTCAAAACCCATTCTAGAGACAAGTTCCAACTGGGAAACTGGGACCTAGATAGAAGATGGATTCTGAATCTCTAAAAGTTTGACTGTTTCAATCCATGACTGTCTTTAGGTCACAGATAATTAATTTTCATTACTACAACAGCTAGTAGTGCTCTGCAAAACAATGAGCTTTGTCACATGCGTGGATGAGGAATGACAATGGTAACTCTGTGTGTAGAGTCATTGGGTCATTAGAACGGTGTAGTATGTAGCTACGAGTGTTTTGACTACGAGTGGCATGAAGTGCTCTAATCAACCAAGTAAAACAAAGCTGGGACAAATACATATATGAAATGCTACCATTTACCGCATACTTGTTGCTCCTTTTTTGATTAAATTAGAATGACTGCACATAGAAAGAATCAACTACTAACAAACATCCAAGTGAGCTAGTGTTAAAAAAAACTGGTCTCTCTAGAGTGTGACATTTTCAAACTTTAAAGTATTTCTACAATAAATATTCTTACCCTATTGAAGAAACAGTCATCCCAAGCTCAGATCAGACTTTTTAGGAGATTCCCAAAAAAGTAAAATTAGTTATTTCTCTTCATTAGTTTTAATTTCTATACTGCCCTCTGCCAGGATCCATCTAAGACCTAAAGGATAAGTAATGAAATACAAGACAACCTCTTCTCTTGATGTTGTCTTTTGGGTGGAGACAGAGGCACTGAATAGTAGAAATCTCAGAGGAAAACCTGTTCTACTAAGATTTTCAGCCCAGTTTATAGACTTAGGGGGCATGTCCACACATGCAAGCATATCTCTTGCAGCAGCTCAAGTAGAAGTAGTGCAAATTTGAGCCGAGGCTTTTTGCCTCAAGCGCACATGCTTGGACATGCACTTTGTTGTGGAGCAAATTGTGCCACTTGGGGCAAAATAACCCTGCCTGGCTCCTCCCGGATCTGTAGCTAGGGGGACCTAGAGCCCGGGACCAGCATCTGTGCTGTCCTCAGCAGTACAGAAAGTTGCCCTGGCAAGTAGCCCAGGGCTACTTGCTCTCAGGAGCTTCTGGGGCCCAGCCAATTGGTACCCGGGGACACTACCCCTTGTGCCAGCTGGACTGCTGAAGCAGTCCTGAGAGTTCCCTGCACCTTGTACCCACTGCAGGGGTCTGGCAGTGGGGCTGCTGCCTGGCTATGACCTGCTGCCACCTGCAACAGCATCCACCACCTTGGACCTGTGTGTAGAGCCATCTGTTCCTCGGGGCCAGCTGCCAGTGGGCTGTGGCAGCAGAGTTGGCCTTTGTGCGGCACTTCTGCCATGTGTGCCCCCTGCCCGGCCATCTGGGCAGCTATCGCCCAGAAGATGTTCTCAGTGTGGTGGCCTGCTTTGAACTGTCAAAGCATGTCCTCCTGGCCCCATTTGTCCAGGAAATCAGCCACAGCCAGCTGAGTCTAAGGTGCCAGCTCTGAACAGGCAGGGTCCTGCCACTGGCCCCCCTAGCAGGAATTCTGGTGTTCCTTATTGGAAAACTGAAAAATCCCTGATAAAAAAATCCCCAAGTCACTCTGTAAAATACCCCAAAATCCATGTTCCTCCACAATTAAAACAAAACACTACTGTAAAGAGAGAGAGAGAGAGTGAGACATAGACAGCGATCAGTTGGGCAATGTTTTATTGATATATCTACAGTGTTAAAAGCAATGTTGAAGCCTACCAGTGTCTCTATCATAATAATAAAGTACTTTACATTAATGTTTCATGAATACTTGAATATATATTTTGCTGCCCTCCCACAGGGGCCACAACCCCCCACACAGGGGCCACGGTCCCCCACACAGGGGTTACAGCCCCCCAACAGAGGCCAAACAGCCCCGCAAGGGCTACCACCCTCTCCTGCAAGGCCCACATGCTCCACCCCAGCCCCCTGATTGCTGCCCCACCTGGCCCCATCCCCTGCCAGCTGCTGTAGCCCCTCCAATGGCTGGCCCACCCCACCTCACCCCCCAACCTGCACCCCCCGGCTCCCCTGAATGCCCCTT